CTGATGTTAATAATACATTCTCCGTTAATTCGAATTCCGGCTTTAACATTCTCTATTGCTTCTTGAAAGATTTCCATAGAGTATATGTTAAACAGTAAGAGTGATAGTATACATCCCTGTCGGGCCCCACATATAAGTTTAATATCATCGGTTTCTCCTACCTCTGTACGGATAGACGATGTTTGATTACAGTTAATATTGGTAAATTCATAGATCACAGGTGTTTTTTCCAATATTTGTTAATGTCTTCATCATATTGTCGCGTTTTACTGTATCTAACGCTCTATGGTAATCAATGAAGCATGCGTAAATATCGCAATTCACATATCTTCATCGTTGAATACAACGATGTCTTCAATTGAATGATGAATCCAATCCAAATAGGTCGTCGAATTTAATAATAAGACGTTTCGGAGTTTATAATATGTCACAAACACCTTTTTTATATAACATCACTTTAGATTATATTATATAACATCAAATAGTCTCTTTATATCTTGATATAATGTTTTTTTTATATACGGTAGAGTAAAGTTAAAAGCATTACATTAGGAGACAACGAACTAATAAAATATACTGCGTTGCAAAATTAACTGTACACCCAGATTTTTCCCAGTTTAAACCCAGTTTTAAAAAGTTTAAGATGTTCCCAATTTAGTATTTAATAAGAAACAAAATTTAAAAGTCAAATTTATCAAAACTCAAGAACGTTACTCAGAAAAAATAATAAACAATTCAACAAATTTGAAAATCTGCAACGAAACAAAAATTATTATTTTTTTAATATATAAACATTTTTTATGGAAAACGATATTTAGTAGAGTATATTATATCCACGATCCACACGCAATAATTACGACTCTCATTCTATCAGGTATACTTCGGATTAAGACAGCAATGTGTGAGTCCTGAAGGATTTGCTTCCATTCGTCATAAACTGCTTGCTCCAAATTATTCATGGTTCCAAACTCACCATGGTTGTGTCGAATACGGCGTTCCAGAATATTCCATGCATGCTCTATTTGATTTAAGTCTGCACTCCTTGAAGGCCATGGTAATAAACGAATCCCAACTTAATCAAAGTAATCCCGTATAATCCTTACGATGTATGGACGAGCATTATCTTGCATCAGACAGAAGTTTTTTCCAACAAATGGGGCAAATGGCACGACATTATCTTCCAAACATTGCCGAATATACCGTTGAGCGCTGAAATTGCCCCCTTGAATTGTAACAAGTTCTGTATAAGCCTCTAGGGAAATGCCTACCCACACTATTATACCACCTCCACTGAATTGGAGTAAGAAAACATGGTTGGTAACGTTCACCAGCTCTTCTCCATATTCTAGGCTGTCCATTTGATGAATATCTGTTAATCTTGATTCATCCGTGAAAAGCATAGCACTCCAATCGGCAACACCTAAATTAAGTTGTTCGCGAGCGAAGTGTAAACGTTGCCTCCGATGATCTGTTGTCAATAGAGATCCCTTGACAGGTATTCTGGGCCTTAATCCATATTCATTAAAGCGTCTTCGAATGATATAAACAGAAACTGTGTTGCTATGGAATGATTTAATCGTTGAATAAGCACTGGTGCTGATAATATACTATCGCGTAACGCTTGTAACCTAAGAAAGCGATCTTCAACTTGACTTGTGGTTCTTCGTCTACCTTGACGTGACCTCCTGGTGTATTCTCCTGTTTCCCGAAATTGTTGTATTGCATTAAAAACTGTACTTCGAGAAATTCCTAAAGCATTTGCGACGTAACGAATGCTCCGCCCATCATCCTGTAAAGCAACAGCTAGTGTTTCTTTTTCTGGTGTCATAATTCTTTTAATATAAGCTTTAAACAGGAGACAATACACAAACCTACAGCCAAACTTATTAGGCATAGTAGCACAATAAACTTAAACAATACCAATTCACTATTTCACATTAATAACAAAACACATGTATAAAAATGTTGTTGTTCACCTAAAACATCTAAACAGGTTCAAAGAGAAAAAAACATTATCGCTAATATGGCATAAAATACAATTCAATCAAATTAAACAAGTTTTAAACAAAAAAATCTAATATAAAATTATTATTTACAATCCTCATTGGTTATTAAAAAAGAGAAACATATGTTTTCTCAGAAATATGACAAATAAATAAATATGGAAGTCGAAGAAAAGAGTAGTGGAAGAATTTGGAACAATAAACACTAATAAATAGCATAAATATCAATAAATCATTTTTAAGAACTGAAAAAGTCCTGGTAACCAACGATGCGAAGAACGAGGTTAAAGTTTAAAATCTATCAGTGCAGAACGCATTTTTTTCTTTTCCAGTAAGCGTTTTAAAACTGTAATCATTCGATTTAAAACAGGATGTATTGAAAATTTAATTAGCAAGCGGATGTGCAGATTTAAGTTATAGCAAAGTAACATTAAGCTTTTGTTTTATTGTTAAAGAAGTTGTTAATTACTGCTTTAGATGAGGTATTTTATGTTCGTTATAATAATAGTTTCTTTATCAAAAACTTTCTATGAATTTTACAACGTACTTAAATTTATGCCAAATAAAAAAGAATAAAAAGGTCACATAATTCTTCTCAACCCTATACGAACAACAAAGTAGCCATAGTTGGTGAAGCCAGTAACCAGATCTTAATTAAAAGTAATTTTTGGTAGTGACACTACAAATAAATGGTAAAAATTTTAATCAACGGTTAAAAGAAATGTTAAATCCCAATTCTCTAAAAGAAAAAGGTAACTATCAGAACAAAAATTTCATGAAATTACCGTTTTAAAGTGGCAAAATATTTGTGTCTAGGAAAAAATTGAAAAATATATCATTCTATGGATGAGGTGTTCAAACTAACAATAAATTTCGAAGAAAATAACAATTGTTACTGAATCGAAAATTTATAACAATGAAAGTGGCGGTGAAGATTTAAGTTGTCAGTGATTATAATTAATATCAATGTATCAATAAAAGTTTAATTGTCTTATTCGTTTATAATTATTACTAACCTAAACTTCCAGCTTAGAAGGAGTCAATACATTTTACGCAACTTTGCCTAATAGTTGCAACTATTGGTTGACTAATCAAACAGGTCGGTTATTATTTTTAACTTTGACTTCCAATAGTTTTATGTTCTGTTGTCAGTAATTGACAATAGAACAGAACAGAACAAGAGGTCCCTCTAAAACCGTTGCAACTGACAATTTTTCATAAAGTGATGTTTTAATGTAAAATGGTTACTTCTGCAGTTTAATATACAGTGGTGCTATCCTTTAGTCGCTAGTTGAATTAAACTATTATAATTTTTAGTACCGAAATTTGAGGTCAGTCTAAAAAGGTTACAGATGTAAGAAACATGGCAGAAATAACGTCTATTTCTCCAATGTGTAGTGTTTTAAAAAAGGCAAATAAGGGTAAAAAACGAAAAATACACTATGACCAATGGCAGCAGGTAAAGAATAAAAGGTTAAAGGATAGTGGAAAAAGTTATATGGGCCACAAAAATATTGTAAAAGCCGAAAAACGGTGTCCAAATGAGTTGAGTCTAAAAACGTTACATGTGTATACTCTAACCTTAAATGTTTTTCCTGCGTTTTTGTTGTGTATTACAGCACGTCTATTTTAGGATTCAACTTGTTCGTTAACTTGCAACTATGATGGTTGTTCCGTGCTTAACCAGAATTTGGAAGTAAAAGTTGATATATTTAATCGTATTTACCAGTACTCTTATAATGAGCAGCAGCGATTCCTTGCAGAGTGTATGGAGTTAAGAGAACCTAAACGAAGGATTGTGCCTAAAGATATATCCAAACGCCAATGTACTATCAAGTATTCACTTCCAGTAAATATTATTGTTTCACAACGGCAGCAGGTATGTCAAAAACAAATTATATCTGTTTTGAATTTAACTCGGGAGAGATTGCAGCTTTTTGCAAGTAAAGTTAAGCAAGGTCTCAGCATCGACGATGGTCGTGGTAAACATAACAATAGACCACGAAGTATTCCTGATGCAGATCAAGAGCTTGTCATTACGCATATTTCTTCTTTTCCTTGCCAAGAAAACCATTATTCGAGAAACTCAAATAAAAAGAAATGTCTTGCTCCAGACTTATCCATAACTAGAATGTACCAATTATTTAGAAATAAGTATCCTACCACAAGGGTGAAATTACACTTGTATAGGTCAATTTTTCACGACAAATTTAACTTAAGATTTGCTGTTCCCAGATCTGATACATGTAAAGTTTGTGACAAATTTTATATACAAATGGTTGCAAGCCAGAATAATGAAGAGTTAAAGCAGCTACAATTTCAGTCAGAACTGCACCACAGAAAAGCAGAAAAGGCTTATAAAACGTTGGTAGAAGATACATAGGCAGCTATTGAAAATGAAAATTTGGTTGTTCTCTGCGTTGATTTGCAACAGGTCCTTTTTACTCCTAATCTAAGCCATTCAGATGTCTATTTTTTGAGACAATATTCTAATTATAACTTTTGTATTCATAATAAGGGAAAGAATAGAGCAACAATGTGTGTTTGGCATTAAAGTGTAGGAAAACGGGGATCAGAGGAAATTTCCTCCGCACTATTTCGCTAACGTTTCCTTTCGTGTAACGTTTTTAGATTGAAAAAATTTAATTCTGTCTAATAGTATTAAAGTACATTTTAAAAATAAAAAAAAAATATAGCAATCTGTAACAATAATGTGTAAGCATCATATAAACATATTTTTATTGTAACAGGGAAAGTTTATATTGTTTTCTTCACTTCCTGTAAAAAAGTGATTTTGCTGTTTGCAACCTTTTTAGAGGAAGGTATTCAATTAACGCAAACATATTTATATTTCAAGGTATATACGAAAAGAAAACCACATACCGATATCTTTTCGATTATGTTGGGTAAGGTAAGGTTAGGTTAGGTTAGGTTAGGTTAGGATAGGTTAGGTAAGGTAAGGTAAATTATGTAGTATTATAAAATCTCACCTCGTAGTCAAACATCAGTCTCGATGCTCATGGCGTTGATGTTGTTATTGTGACGCGGATTGCAATTCTGTTTTTGAGAAAGCTGATCACGCGTCACCATCAGTCCCTCTTCCAGTTCAACCAAGTCACTCGAAGACTCGCTTAAAGAACTCTTCTTCATGTGCTGTCCTAAGGTGCCTGGCAAGTACGGGCAACTCGTCACGTGGTTGAAGTTCTGTGATTGCATTTCCTCCTAAACGAGTGAAAAGAATAAATCGTTTAATATTCGATAAAAAAGAATATGTAAATAAAGAACAGATTATAGCTTCCGACAATAGTTTCAAAAATATCCTGACAAAAAATTTTTATATTTCAGAATAGATTTCTTCTCTATATTTAATATTTTTAATTTTAAAATACCGTTATGAATCATTAATAGACATGAGGTCAGATCATTCCTTGGTATAAATAAGATTGGATTATGAAACCCACCAAGATAAAACATTTAGTATTTAAGTATGTCGTTATTATGGTAAATAGATATTCGGTGGGCTTCAAAAACCTCTTCCTCCTCATATATTTTATCTCTATTGAGTTTGACGACCCTCATGGCAAATTTGTCTCTGATTTCTGACGATGTTTGTTTAGTACCTTAGTAAGCCATGATTTATTTTTTTGATCTAAATTACACTTTCCGTCAATCTGTTAATTATGTATTCGGACGCATAATTACCAGATCGACTGAATTTGCGTTTACTAGTAGCTCAGAAGTGTTAATTTTTCAAAGTTGTGCATTGATAGTTCTATGAGCCCGCTTCATAACATTCACTTATACACGCACATTGCAAATGTTTGCAGTATATCATCCTGCTTCAAAGTTCACCAGTTGCATTTATTGGAAAAGGAGTACACGTCTGCTACATCTCGCAATGTAACATAAGCTTTAGATAATGAATACTTTCTTAAAAAAAGCTTGCGATAGAGAATGCATGTCGGTAAGACCAGATGGTATTATTAAAAATGAAATAGATTATTTGTTATAAATAGACAAGAAATTGTCCAAATCATGAGTGTGTTAAATAAGTTTTCAGTAATTAGTAACCATAAATGAAAAAGAGTTATAAAATTTATTCACATCACATTTAATGTGATGAGACAAAGAGCGAAAAATGGACTAAGTATCCAAATCATGGTATGTAGGGAAAAATACCACCAGAAATAGAGTTGTTATAATTGCGAATAGAGAAACAATGGATATTGTAATAAAAGTTGTAAGAACAAGTAATGGATTAATGTCAATGAAATTTTGAAAGACAAAGAAGTGGTAAAATTTTGTGTGTGTATATATGTGCGTAAAGAAAAGCAATATATGATCACTTAGGAAACATACTTAAAGATATTTTATTCGAGAAGAGAGTCATGTAGGCCAATCTAGGAAAATATGTGAGGCAACATATGAAAAATTGGGTTTTGGAACTAGAAATTATGCTAAATATGATATGCATAAGTAAACTTATCACAGAAAACAGGAAAAAATGACTCTCAAATCGATTATTTCATGACAAGAAAAGAAGATAAACTTAAGTATCAGAACTGTTTATAATACTGAGAGGTAAATACACAAGTTGTTTATTATAAACATCAAAGCAAGAGAGGGAGATGAAATTTGGATATTAAAAGATGGAAAAGAAAAATTTGTTCAGGGCAAAAATAAATTGTTATCAACAAATTTATCAAAAGCAGTTTTTAGATACCTGTATTAAAGAGTGTCATGAAAAGGCTCTTTATTTGCTAATTTCTCTGGTCAATTATGCATACCGAGCTAGAGGAAGACATCTGACGTGCTGGCGAGATAAGATAATATAAAGAGTGTTACCACAAACTGGATTTATGGGATGTCGGAAACACTGGTCTTAATTGAGAGGTCTCTGATCTGCAGTGGACGCTAGAGCTTGTATAATGGTGATAACCAGATATACTGTGTTATGGTTTTACATGTTTTTTATCGGAATAAATGGGAGAAACTTCACTGTGAGTGGTATAAGGAGTTAATAGATTCATCAGATCCCGGCTAGAAAACAAGAAATTTTACGTAATAGTATTAAATCCTAATATGTCTGTAGTGTAAACTAGAGTACGCTGGTGAATTGGATCGATCTACGGAGAAGTAATATGGCAAGGATATAAATATGTTCCGCATCACTTTGTTGTTTCTGTTGTTTCTCTACCTGCTCACATTATTTCTTTCTCCATGGTTTCTCAATTGCACTTTTGTCTCTTTAACCTGTTTGTCGACCTTTTTATTGAGTAGTAGAATTTAGACTTTCTTTTTTTATGTTTATGTCTAAAACACGAGTTTTAAAATCGTATTTGTAAATAAATTGTCAACTATAGGGAAGACCGAACGAATTCCGCACACGGGGAGTTCTGCGCATAAAGTATCTTGGCACTAAGTATCTCAACATTCAGCACAGTGTATAGCCTCGTATTTGTTAGCTGACCACATGTTTCTAATATAACTGAACTATTTCATAATTATTTTGTTTTATATGTATAGATAATTTCACATAGAAAAACAATAAATTGTGATTAGCCATTATTGAAGACATATTACAATAAGTCAAGTTAGGTTGTTAGGTTATTCACTTCGTAAGAATTTTTTCTGATATAGTCTTTGTACTGCTTTGTAGAGTCCAAAATGCCCCATGCTTACGTTCGGAAAATCGAAAGATCAAAATGGACTAAAGATGAACTAAAAGCTACTATCACTGTTATACGATCTCGGCGAAGAATATGAGAAGTAGGTCAATCATTAAATATTTCAGAATCCACTCTACGTGACAAACTAGCCAAAGTCCACTAGCCATTAAAAAATAAAACCTCACAGGAAACCAATTTTTAATGATGAACAGGAATCCACCATATACAAGGAAGTTAAAAAACTGGCAAATATGTTTTTTAAAATCACACCAGCAGAACTAAGGAGTTTTGAATACCAGTTTGCTAAAGCAAACAAAATAAAACACTTTTTGAACATAGGTTAAACAATTTTTTAACAATCTGCTCACAGCTATGAAAAAGCTCAAATTTTCTAAGAGTCCAATTTTTAATGTAGGTGAAAAGGGCATTTTTATAGTCCAGAAACCATCAAACATTTCGGCACCAAAGGGTCAAAAACGAGTGAGAAAGCGGGAAAAATGTTACCATAGTACCCGCTGTAAACGCGTTATTTATTTCCCCTATGTTTATGTGTCGTTGACTACGTATGAATCCACAATTATTAAAAGTAGGCCAAATTGGAGCAATATGGAGCAAAGCAGATGTTTAAAAAGTGATTGGATAAATGAAGAGTTATTTTTCGAGTGGATAAAACATTTTTGTCAGCATATAAAGAAGAAAGAAGATTCAGTGCTTCTCATATTTAATAATCATGGGAGTCACATTTCTTTGAATATTTATACCTACTGCAGAGAATTTTTTATGGTTTCACTTCCGCCTCGCACCTTACACAGGCTTTAAACTCTTGATATAACTTTTTTATATCCCTAAAAATACTTTAAACTGTGAGTGTAACTTGTACCTAAGAACTCATACCCTTGAAAAGATCATATATTTTGAACATCATTTTTAACAAAGCATATCTTAGAGTTGCCAGGATGGACAAAGGCATATTCAAGTTCCCTGCTGCTGGAATATGGCCCATAAAGTTTCAGATATATACATTAAAATAAACTTAAATAAATTCAACGATTCCCACGATGACAATGTTCTAAAGCAGTCGAATGCAAATTTTTGAAGTTGAGTACAGAACGACACTACAGACAATACAGTCGAGATCTAAAAAACACTGCAGATAACTCAAACTAGAAATATCGAAACCCAAGCAGGACCATCGTGATGTAATGAAACTATGCAGAGTACTCCTCCTAGAAATACCGAACCCCAACCGGGACCATCGAGATATGATGAAACTGTGCACAAGACTTCATCTAATAATGCCAAATTAAAATCAAACAAGCAAGCTAAACCCCAGCCTAGAACGTCAGGAGGTGTTAAATTTCAGTCTAGTGTACCTATTGAAAAGCTAGCGTCTTTTCGTTGCAAAAATTGTAAATAAAACGTCCAAATCGCGTGCAAAACAATACTAAGAAATTTTCACTTCCACAGCACTAAAAACTCAATAGAAATAACACAAGAAAAAAGAAACCTTAGGAAAAAAGTTGAAGAAATAACCCAAAATGAAAATAGACAAAGAACGACAGAAACCGTAGGAAAACTAGCTACTAAACAAAGAAACGACCTGTAAGCAAAAAAGCTGGAATAAGAAACTAACATTTTGATGATTCTGAGTCTGAAAGTTAGTATGACAGTAAGCTTTGTGTTGATGGTGACCTAGATAATGTAGATCTAACAGTAGAAAATGAGGAGTACTTGGTATGCAGTGAATTCGGACGAGACAAAGAAATTTGGTACCGTTGTGTAATGTGTTCGAATTGGGCTTATTCAGATTGTAGTGGTTGTTATTCAGCAGTTAATTATACGTGAGATGTGCGTGATCAGGTAAAATGAAAGATCAATATATATATATATATATATATTATATATATATATATATATATATATATATTATATACATATATATATATATATATATATATATATATATATATATATACATAAATATATATATATATATATATATATATATACATATATATATATATATATATACATAAATATATATATATATATATATATATATATATATATATATATATATATATATATATATATATATAGCTAAACACCCCGTACGGGGTTACGCCGCTTAAGCTCTCTAGATCTATTTTACGAGGTAGATCAGTCCTCATTTTCTTTATATAATTTTTCTTGTTATTTTTCTCCACTGTTTCCAATCTCTGGTTTTTTCTCTCCATTGTCGTACGCCCGCCCTGTTGAGATCGTTTGTTACTTCTTGTAGCCATGTAGATCTTGGTCTTCCACGTCTTCGTTTACCAGCTGGTGTCCATTCCAATATTGAGAATATTGTCGTAGATGGTCCTGATCTCCATATATGTCCTAGCCATTTTGCCCTTTGCTGTTTTATTTTACAAACTATATCCTCTTTAATTTCGTTTAGTAGTTCATGATTCGTTCTTTGTCTATATTGGTTTTCATTAATTTTTATTGGTCCTAATATTGCTCTTAGTATTTTCCTTTCTAGTATTCTTAGGTCTTCCTCTTGTT